CATGAAAAACTTTCGTAGGACGTATTTTCTTGTAAAGTTCATATTTACTGAGATATCGCACTTTGACGCACTAATGAGCAACCCTGTATATTTGATTTTTGTTTCATTCATTGATAGCCCCCATGTCTCGTATTCTTCATTGATCTTTCGGGTCATATATTCTATGTAATCCTTTGTCTTGGGCGATGATCACTTGATCGTCTGCAAACTGTGAAGTCTGCAAAGTGTGAACAAAGAAGAACTCTACATTTTTTCTAGTTGGATAATACAGATTCTATATATATTTTGAACAGCTCACTTAGCGAGTTTCAGAAAAATATTGAAAGCATTTTGTTCTAAAATTTCTAAAAGATATTAACAAACATTCCTAAACACTTTGGTCCTTCGAATAACCCAAATTCTCCCCACAAACTTGGGTCCTGCAAGCCGATGCAATTTTGGTCCTGCGCACCGAATCATTTTGGTCTTGCGAGACCCATACAGCTACATCGATGTCTACATAGAGTTCGATTATACATTTTTCTAAAATACTTCAAGATAAACAACTAATTGTCAATTATCCTGTTAAAATTATTATATTATTCGATTTGTACTACATGTCGTTAACCTTTTTAATTTTTGACCATCAATTACAAATAAAAAAATGCTCATTTTCATTTTGCTTTTATAATGTGCAACAATTAATACCTTTACGCTTAATACATTAAACTATTCATCTAACCATCTTCACAAAATGAAGATACGTTTTTTGAACTAATAAATAGAACTTTCGTATATACCTACGATGTGAAAATCTCAATTTTATTACAGCAGTAAAAAATTAAACTCCTGCATCGGCATTTTACTGGAACAGAAGCTATTCGCTGAGCACTTAAAATGATTAGAACAGAAACACCATCGCCACCACCACCGCCGATAGAAGAGCCCCCGGTTGTAGTAATAGGGCTATTCAAGTGCCATAACTTGATAAAATTGCTGAGTCCTTCTTCGCCTGCTATTGCACTCTTGAGCGAAGAAACGGTAATTAATAGAAACCCCGCCGTACATCCATATAAGTATGTACCTACTTCATACGAGTGCAGTTGGCCGAAACAGTTCGTGGCCAAGGAACGATTAAAACTCTGGGCGTAGCAGTAAAAGTGTTAGGGGTTGGAAGTCGATTGAAAGAAGTGTGGGAAAAGCGGTTTGGTACCGAACCAACGGTGCAATTGCACGTTTCCACGATTCGTCCAATCAAAAACAACTACCTATAAGAACAGGCGGTGCGACAGAAGACATCCATTCAGATAGTTGATTTTTATTTAAGACGCAGTCACTCGGTCGGTCTCAAATTTTAATTGAAAAACAATAATTTGTTTGTCAAACAACTAAATTGCTGTTTAAAGTAATTTTTAATATATGCAAATTTAATTCATCATTTACCAGATGACTACTGAATTCCACTAGGTTCCATGGCCAACCCGTGGAGCTACACAAAATGTCCCTCAATGTTAATTTTCTTTGCTTTGTATTTATCCATCGTTACCGGGGTTTTTAATAATTAAGAAAGACTAGCTATTTACGTAATGTGAATTAGACAGATTACTTAGAAAAACATTGTCGCCATCCTTCTGACCTAGTTTTTAGCAAATATTTGTGGTTTTCATAACAATTATTATTTTTCTACAATTTTTCCTGTACTCCCAAAATACTCCCAGACAATACCTCCAGAGGAATGACGCCAATTTTGATACACACTGTATGGAGTTGCTGTAAGAGGTTTGGTCAGACGACGGTCACAAGATAGTTACGGTCTGTAAAAGTGATAAGTATACGGTCAGTTCGGTCACAAGTACAATAATTTCACTTAATGTATTAGTGTTTGTATTGGTTTGAAATAAATTTGTTTTTAAAAACGGAAGTTTCAAATAAATCAATTAAATGATGTATGAACATGAGCCATACAAACACCAAATAAAAAAATTCAAGCAATACGTGGTGGAACAACTAAGTACTGAACTTGTTTACTGAAAACTAAAAGCGGTAATCAATTTCCCACGTAATTATTAAACCGGATATCTCGGGTATAATTTGATTAAATTGACCACAATTGTTTGCCTGCTTGCGATATACGCACACAGTTTTATATGCGGTCGTTCAATGCATGAACAAACTCGAAATCAAAGCAAATGTGCCAGAAAAATGTTGTGAATTAAATTAGAAAATCTGCATGCTCTGTCTGTGAAATTGATAGCAAAGCTTAGTTCTACAACGACTACAGTGAATTAAACATACGAATAAACATATATTTTAATCTGAAAATCTCAAATTTTTTTCGTTTGCATTTAGGAATAGAAATTTGTGCATATTTAACTTCTTTACGTTTTAATTAGAAAACAACTGCCATACTTTTAATTGCCTGAATAAATGGTTCCATCTTTAAATTTGGTTATCAAAATTGTTTCTAGCGTAAGCCATCCAATGTAAAATTCTTGGTGGCCCCCAAAGTTTTAAGTCTGGAACACTCCCTATTCAAGTATAAAATTACAGTTCTCCACAGAGATGTACTGAATTGTTTTTTAAATACTTTTTGGAACTCTTTCCAGATCTTGGAGCTTTTGCAATTACGTCAATATTGCAGATTGAGTTTTATTTCATTGCATTTTATCCTGATTCATTTGTACTCAACAATCAATTATCATTGGCTTAGGCAATAAAAAAAATTGAATTTCCGACAAAGGTCGTTTGGAATATTTTTCCGTTAAAATCCAAGAAATTCACATTTGGAAGGTTTAGTTTGCTTTGCTTAACTGATTTTAGCTTCCTTTCGGCGTTTATTCATAGTTAAAAAGCTCAACAATGAGGTTGACAAAATCACAATTTTACAAACTTGCACCAATCAAGAATTAATTAACAATTAATGTAATGAGGAAAACAAACGTAATTTCAAATTTTTCATCGATCTAAACGCCAGACTAAGTTAACATAAATTATTACGATCCTACTAAAACGCGTTAATGCAAACTGGACTGTCCTTTTGCCAAACACACTTTTATGGTCGGAACCTCAATTAAAAACAACTCTTATAACAATTTGAAGCAAGGACACGACATATGGCGGTCCATAGATACGACTTATCTAGGACTCACTCAGACGATTGCAGTAATTGTCAGCTAGGTATAGTAGATACTATTATCACCGAGGGGTTTAGAAAAAGAATCCGTCTGATATCTGTATAATGCAGACATTCTTATTCGGTCATTGCGTTGGTTATATACAGTGTGGGGTTGTTTGTGCCCCATAGGACGTCTTGTCAGGTGGCGAATATGGGCGTCTCGCAGATATGGGTTGTATAATACCATTGAGAAACGACAGCCAGTTCTCTCAAAACTGGCTGCAAGTAAAAAATAACGGACATTTCTGCCAGTTGCAAAACAGACGGCGGGGTGGAATATCATAAAAGAAGGATTACTGATCATGGACCTCGGACACCAATAGCTGGCAAGGAAGGGTCATTTCACAGGGCCTGCCGGGTGGTTATCAAGCACAATCTCTGCAGGGGAAAAAATATGTGAACATAAAAGGGGGAATTAGAATAGGCAAATGGAACACACGGCGCTTATAGGAACCCAACAAAGCTCACAATACTATAAGGAAGGTGAAAAAGCGCAACAGCAATTCTTTACCTCAGCAAGATGCAAAGCACGGAAAAGCGTTTATTATTCGCAGTGAACTTAATCAATGTCAAATCGGTGTGTCACAAATATGATGGTCATCACATTAC